TATTATTCTGACTCTTCTCTTACATTGGTAGTTTTTTCTTCTTTTAGTCCTTTATCAAAATCATCAATTGATTCTGCAATCTGTGTATGGGGTGAAGGTGGGAGTTCATAACCCACTTGAATCAAAGTGTGGAATATGATATGTCAAGAAATTTGTAATGTTTTGAACAACCCACAATAAAAAATTAAAAAAAAAAATAAATAAAAGTGGAATTGCTGAAAAAAAAAAAAAAGTGGAGCTAGTAATAATACCCAGTACATAAAGTTATTTTGAGAATTAAATGAAGGAAGCACTTAGATCAGTACTCAGAAAGTATGGTGGAGGGAAACAGCTCCCAGAATAATCAGGAAGCAGAGAGAGACTCCACTCTCCAGAAACAAATATATACAAACCCCCAAGCCACGCCCCAGTTCCCACCTCTTCCAGCCACACCCTATCACTTCAGTTGCCACTTAGTTAATCCCTATCAGGGGATTAATTTCCTGATTGGATTAAGACTCTTCCAACCCAATTATTTCTCCTCTGAACCTTCTTGCATTGTCTCACATGGGAGCTTTAAGGGGATACCTTATCTAAACCATAACACACATGAACAAACATTTGTGGCTTGGTAGACTCCTTGCAATAGTTAAGACTGTTAAAGCCAGGGTCACAGCTTAAAGGAGGGCATGGTTGATTTCGTTTGGGTATGTCATGAAAGATTTTTCAGGGTAGGAGGTCATGAGGTAGCATACTGACACTGGGGTTGGGGGAGGGTGCCATAAAAAAAAAAAATCATCAATTGAATTCTTAACTTCAGTTGTGGCTTTTTCAGTTTTAAAATGTAATTTGCCTTTAAAAAATACATTACAGTTTTTTTTGGTGGAGCTCTTTAATTTATTATGCATTTAATTCAAAACATTACTCATGATATTTTTGATCTGTCAGATCATTTTAATAATTGAATCATCTGTGTGTCTCTTTCTATTGTTTATTTTTATGACCCTCTTTATTGTTATGCCTAATAATTTTGAATTGAGTTTGGATATTGTGAATAAAAACCGTAATTGTTCTGGATGATGTTATCTTCTTCCTCAGCAGAACAATGAACTTCTAGTTATCTGCTAGATGTGGATTTAGGGTATTTATGATAGAACTTAACTTGAAATAAGTACTCTACCTCTTCTTTTTTGTTGGATACTATGCAATCTGGCATTACAAATATTTTCAACATCATATTTTTGTTTCTTTCAATTCACCTCCCCCATTCTATTTTATAGACCTACTTAAAATAAAACAAACATCAGGCTCAGGATTTGTACCATATTTGAAAAATCTGTTTCTTTCTTCTCCATTACTGAATCTCAAGAACCAAGATTATTGAATCTTTTTCCCTTTGATTACCTGGAATATTGAATAATTGCATTAGAAACTTTCCTCCCCCAAAGTTTCTATTTACTTTGGCTAGCATTTTTAAACTGAATGTAACCCAAGAGAAATCATTCCCCTCAATTTAATGATGAATCAACTGTATCCCCAAGACAAAACAAAACTTACCTGAGATCACATGCTTAAGTTTAACTCTTTGTCTCTTTGTCTAAGGACTAATTTTGAAAGACAAATGCTAGTGATAACTTAGAACATGGTTATAATTTAATACATTTAAAGATAAATCAAATGTCAAGAATCTTATTTTCTCCTGAAATATCTATATAATACCATGAATTATTTTCCCAAAGACATGCATGTGAATCCTTTTCTTCATTGAATATAGTTTTAAGTACTCAATATTTACCAGAAGTATTAAAACAATACACACATTATTAATACCATATTGTCAGTTTTACCTCTTAATACTTGATATTTACTTTTTGGAAAGGATATTTCATGTTTTATAAAACTTTCTACAATAATTTATGCTATAGCCTTGTCATTTCACATCAATTACTGCTCTGTAGACTATAACTACCAGGCATGGTAAGCTCAGTGGCTCAAGAAGCTGAAGTGGGATGGGGTCCGCAGAGGGGTGGGCGCAGAGGCAGGGTGGGAAAGTTCAAAGCCAGCCTCTCGCAGTGTAGGAAGTCCCTAAGCAACTTAGCAAGACCCTTTCTCAAAATAAAAAAGAAAAGTAAAAGTGGATTAGGAATGTGGAAATGTGGCTTGGTGGCTAAGAATCCCTGGGTTCAATCCCTGATACCAAATAAAAAACAAACAAAAAATAAAAATTAAAGAATGTGAGTACCGTCTGCTGATGTTATTCTGAAAAAAACTTATTTTCTTTTTTCCTTCTATTGGGTATTAAAATATTTTAAAATTATCATGAATAATGTTCAATAAATAGTATTAAAAATTGATCCATATTTTTATTAATCATCCTTTGTCACTATAACAAATACATGAGATAATCAACTTACTAGGTTTATTTAGATTTATGGTTTCAGAGGTTCCAGTCCAGGATCAGTTGGCCACCTAATTTTTAGGCCTGTGTTGAGGCAGGACCAATCATTGTTAGGAGTCTACTACATTCACCTCTGGCCAAGAAATAAAAAAGAAAAAGAGGAAGAAACCAGGGTCCCAGAATCCCTTTTAAAGTCATGTGCCGCCCCCCAGAGACCTAAATTTTCCCATTAGACCCCATATCTTAAAGATTCTTTACCTCCCAAAGTGTCACCCTGGGAAGAAAGATTTTGCTTTGTGGACCTTTAGGGACATTAAGGTAGTAACTATAATGATCTGAATGTTAAGGGAAAGTCATGATAATAGGGATAGTAATAATCTTACTAAATATAAAGGCAATGATAAACACATTTTCAAAGATTATAACCAAAACAAATTCTGTGACATTATTTTATTTCTTTACAAGATTGACCTCTGGAAATCAAATAACTTTCAGCTGACTGCATTTTCTGGTAATTTCTTATTTTTTCCAAGCTATATTTTATTATGAATTTCTTGGCACTGAGAATTACATGTTTTAAATGTAAAAGTATGCAGAAATATAATTATGGTTCTGTTAGTTCCTCTTGTCCTCACAGGTAAGGAAGATTTTGTAATGTTTAAAGAAATCTATGGAGTGTATATAAAAGCAGAATATTAAATATTTCAATTAAAATGTTGGTGACATTTTCTTTTGGCTATATTTATTAAGCGAAGTCAACTATATTGACTGAGTAAAATTCAAATGTAAGTTCATGCAAAAGAACAGTTGAGGGAATAATGGAACTAATATAGAAGTAAGCTGGTTATAAAATGGGTATTCTTTTCACATGATTACTTTTACTGTAATCTACACATCTGGCAAAGAATTGTAGGATTTTGACTTATTGAATAAATACAAGAGATATAATTACTCAAATTATACAGTAATAGAAACTTGGAGAAATGCTGTCTAGATATGTCTAATTTTAAAATACTGTCAGGGGCTGGGGTTGTGGCTCAGTGGTACAGTGCTCGCCTCGCATATGTGAGACCCAGGTTTGATCCTCAGCATCACAAAAAATAAATAAATAAAATAAAGATATTGTGCCTATGTATAATTAAAAAAATAAAAATAAAAAATAAAATAGTATCAAGATGCTTACTAAAAATTGTTTTAGTATATACTAAAAATTGTTTTAGTATATTTTGACTTCTAGAAAATTGAAATTTCCATATCACAATTTTGAGTAAACACAAAAGTGGTGATATTATAAAAAACATAAAGAACAGAATTTTCATTAATTTGGAAACTAGACTTCCAAAAAAGGAACTCAGGAAAGGATGTCATGAAATGAAATAGTTTAGTTATTTTAAAAATAACATTAGTAAAAATTCAGGACTAAACATTACAAATTAGAATAAAATTTTGTTTAATGAGTAACACAGAGGTAGTACATATCCTTTAAAATGATATGGAAAAATTTAAAGAAGATATCTAAGTAGAGAAAGAAAAATCAAAATTGTATTAAATGTTATTATGCCAGGCCTGGTGGTACATGCTTGTAATCCCAGCAACTAAGGAGGCTAAAGCAGGAGGATTTGAGGCCAGTTTGGGCAGTTTAGCAAGGTCCTATCTCAGAATAAAAAAATAAAAATAAAAACGGCTGGCCTGTAGTCCCTGTGATTGAGGAGGTGAAGGCAGGAGGTTTGCAAGTTCAAAGCCAGCCTCAGCAACTTAGCAAGACCCTATCTCAAAATAAAAAACAAAAATTAGAAAGGGCTTGGGACTTCGCTCAGTGGTTAAGACCCCCTGGATTCAATCCCCAGTACCAAAAATAAAATAGCCACTACTGCCACATCATGTCCACCACAAATATGGGAAGTTATACTTCATGTATGAATGATATGTCAAAATAATAGTCTACTGTCACATATAACTAAAAAGAACAAATAAAATTTTTTCAAAAGATCAAAAGCATTTAATGATCTTTGATAACCTCAAAATATTAATTTATTTTGACAATTATATAGTAATATTAAATAAATAGTTAATACCAAAAAAATACCTGGTACTGGGAAAAATATTTTTATCAGTTGGAAATATATAAACCCTTAACTAAATAAAATAGAACATTGCAAATTACTTTAGTAGGGATTTGGGTGTCATGATTTCAGAAGTGATTTTTTTAATATTTTACTGATGTGCTTGTATTGATTCATTTCAATTTAGGTTTTAATATTTTGACTAGAGAAAGGAGATATACAGAGTCATAGAAAATATGTCACTGAAATTGGGTAATATTTGATAAATATTTGACAAACATAAGGTAAATAAAGCAAAACATGGAAAAATACTTACCCTTTCATCCACATGATGTCGCTGGACACTGACAAATCTTTTCTCCCTCCTCCAACATACAAAGCATACGGTGAGTACATTTTTAACAGGAAGGAAAAAGACCTTCCATTTGTGGCTCTGCTACAAAAGATCAAACAGGCGAGGGAATTGGGGAAAAAAAAGTAAATTTGGATTAAATTTCCAGAAGATATTTTGTGGCGATGCACTAGAGACTGGAGAAGTGCAACGAGATCGCGAGATTGCGATGCTATATTCCCAAAGAGGAAGTCCAGGATCCTGGCGCCTGCTGCTCTCACTGCTGATCCTCCCAGCATGCAAGAACGGGAGCGGCCAGCTCCATTACTCGGTCCCCGAGGAGGCAAAACACGGCACCTTCGTAGGCCGCATCGCCCAGGATCTGGGACTGGAGCTGGCAGAACTGGTTCCTCGCCTGTTCCGTGTGGCGTCCAAGGACCACCGGGAACTTTTGGAGGTAAATTTGCAGAATGGCATTTTGTTTGTGAATTCTCGGATCGACCGGGAGAAGCTGTGTGGGCGGAACACAGAGTGTAACGTCCACCTGGAAGTGATCCTGGACCAACCGCTGCAGGTTTACCATGTGGAGGTGGAGGTGAGAGACATTAATGACAACCCGCCTAGGTTCTCTCGTTCAGAACAAAGATTAAATATTTTAGAATCAAGAATGCCAGATTCGCGATTTCCGGTAGAGGGCGCATCTGATTTGGATATAGGAGTAAATGCAGAATTGAGATACAAAGTAAATCCTAATGAATATTTTGACTTGGATGTTAAAAGAAATGAAGGAGAAACAAAGGTTTTAGAGCTAGTTTTGAAGAAACCTTTAGATAGAGAAGAAACACAAGAGCATCGTTTATTACTAATTGCAACTGATGGAGGAAAACCTGAACTAACAGGTACAGTTCAGTTATTGATCAATGTATTGGATGCGAATGATAATGCCCCAGAATTTGATAAACCCATTTACAATGTAAAAATGTTGGAAAACACACCGAATGAGACTTTGGTTATTAAACTGAACGCCTCAGATGCAGATGAAGGTAGCAATAAGGAAATAACGTATTTCTTCAGTAATCTTGTTTCTGATGATGTAAAATCTAAATTTTCAATCAATTCTGATAGTGGTGAAATAAAAGTTAAGGGAGAACTGGATTACGAAGATTGTAACTTATATGAAATTAATATTGATGCTGTAGATAGAAGTACATTCCCATTAACAGGACACTGCAAAGTAATAGTGAAACTCCTCGATGTGAACGATAACTCTCCTGAGATGGCCATAACCTCCCTCTTTCTGCCTATCAAAGAGGACGCTCCCTTGGGTACTGTCATCGCCCTGATTAGCGTGTCCGACCGTGACTCTGGTTCCAATGGGCAGGTGACCTGCTCTCTGACGTCCCATGTTCCCTTCAAGCTCATGTCCACTTTCAAGAATTACTACTCGCTGGTGCTGGATAGCGCCTTGGACCGCGAGAGCATATCTGAGTATGAGTTGGTGGTGACTGCGAGGGATGGGGGCTCGCCTTCGCTGTGGGCCACTGCCAGCTTGTTGGTGGAGGTGGCAGATGTGAACGACAACGCGCCAGTGTTCGCGCAGCTGGAATACACGGTGTTCGTGAAGGAGAACAACCCTCCAGGCTACCACGTCTTCACGGTGTCCGCGCGTGACGTGGACGCTCAGGAGAATGCGCTGGTGTCCTACTCTCTGGTGGAGCGTCGGGTGGGCGAGCGTGCGCTGTCGAGCTACGTGTCAGTGCACGCGGAGAGTGGCAAGGTGTATGTACTGCAGCCTCTGGACCACGAAGAGCTGGAGCTGCTGCAGTTTCAAGTGAGCGCGCGCGACTCTGGTGTGCCTCCCCTAGGCAGCAACGTGACTCTGCAACTGTTTGTGTTGGATGAGAACGACAACGCGCCAGCTTTACTGGGACCTTGGCAACAAAGAGCAGGCGGCGCTGTTAGCGAGCTGGTGCCGCGGTCAGTTGGTGCAGGCCATGTGGTGGCGAAGGTGCGGGCGGTGGACGCTGACTCTGGGTACAATGCGTGGCTGTCCTACGAGCTCTTGCCTTTGGTAGGTGTCGCGCGCAGCCCGTTCCGCGTAGGGCAGTACACTGGCGAGATCAGCACCACGCACACCCTAGACGAGGCAGACGCGCCACGCCAGAGTCTGCTGGTGCTGGTGAAGGACCACGGAGAGCCAGCGCTGACCACCACCGCCACAGTGCTGGTGTCTCTTGTGGAGAGCGGCCAGGTGCCTAAGTCCTACTCGCGGGTGTCTGTGGGCGCCGGGAGTCAGGAGGCTGCGGTGGTGGATGTCAACGTGTACCTGATCATAGCCATCTGCGCGGTGTCCAGCCTGTTAGTGCTCACGTTGTTGCTGTACACAGCATTTCGCTGCTCGGCGACGCCCACCGAGGGCCCCTGCAAGCCTGGAAAGCCCACACTGGTGTGCTCCAGCGCGGTGGGGAGCTGGTCTTACTCACAGCAGAGGAGGCAGAGGGTGTGCTCTGGGGAAGGCCCGCCCAAGACCGACCTCATGGCTTTCAGCCCCAGCTTACCTCAAGGTCCCAACTCTACAGACACTGTGAGTCTTATTCACCCTATTCTTCCCTCTTAATTCTTGAACATTACATATTGCACGTTTTCTTCAATAATTTCTTTAGTTTTTGAAAATTAATAATAAATAATTAATAAAATAATTAATTAGTAATTATTATATCAGCTTCTTATATTTCTTATATTTGTACTAATTTATACTTAAAATTATATTATTTAAAAATTCTAGATTATTCGAGATATTTTTGTACTAATATGACTTGTAGTTAGTAATTTTATGTGATTTTACTAAAATAGACAACTAATTATCTTATTTCCATGTCGTATAATATTTTCAAAGTTTTTAGAGTTTAAACACATTAATTTTTAGTCTCTGGGAAATATTGTAAGACATATTTTAGAGTTATCTATTCCAATGTCTCATTTTATGACTACACAAAAGTGTTTTTACACCACTCCATCAAAAATGCTTTTTTCCTTTCTGTTTAATTGCAATTACTTTTTTACTACACTATAAAAATTTAATTTTCTTTTGTCAGTCAATTTGTGTGGTATTCCTTTCAACTCTGTCTAAAAAGTTGACTTTGGATACTAACTATGGATTTGTTATGTACAGCCTAAAATTTTAGGGTTAATGTCTCCTACTGAATAGGAGATGCATGTTTTATCACGTAAAAGTCTAGTAATACAAAAGAGGACAGGTATAATTTCCCTTCCACCTTCATCACAAAGCTTCTTAATATTCCTTATATTCCTTTTTCAGCACTTCAAACATTTCTATTTCTTGGTTATCCTTCTACAGATTTTAATCTTTATACACTAAACATTCTTACCCCCTTAAACATGTAACATTAGTATCAATTTTAATCTTGTTTGGATTGGGGATATGGTTCAGTGGGAAGGAGCTTGCCCAGCATTCATAAGGCCCTGGGTTCAATCCCAAGCACTGCAAAAAATATTTTTTAAAAATCTTGTTTCCTCCCCCACACACTTTACAAGATGTCTTTGTGATCATTACTTATTAAATAAGGATATTTATCATTCTATTATCTAGTTCTATACTGTTCCATGTGTTTATATGATAATTATTTTATATGATAATTTAATTTTCCCAAAACTTAACATTGACATTTACTGGAACAATTATTTAATTCACCTTAAACTTGCATATTTTTCAATTTATAAATTATTTATATTGGTGAGAAATGATTGTGATCTCTTTCAGTTGCAAAATTCCTAATATATTTAGTTAGAAATTTGTGCTACTTATTGCTGCTTTTCATTTTTAGACTAATACAAAAAAATAAATGTATTCTAATGCGAACTCCTCTCATGAGTTTGTTGTTTACAAATAGAGTTGTTTACACAAAACTGTACATTGGAATGTACACACACAACAGTCCTCTTCATATAAAATAATGAGAAATGTTTCTTCATTTTTTTTTTATAATTTAATTTTTTGCATAAGTGTTGGTTTAACAGAAATTATTACATGCTTCATACACTGAAATGTTAGTTCCCTGTTTTATTGAATTGCCAATTTCTCTTATTCTCACATGCATTTAATTTTATAATACCCTTCTGCCATATTAAATAGGTATTTCTAATATTTGAAGTACTTTGGGGAAATCTTAGAAATTGAGAATGGGTTCTTGCCACTGTTAACAACTGCCAACATTTAAAAAATTAAGTTAATTTTGAAATAACTCTTTAGCTTATGTTATCAATATTAAATTTTTCTGTGTGTGTGTATGTGGGGAAGGAGCTGCTTGTTTATAGAAAGATTGACTAAGAATATTTTTATTAACATAATCTCCCTCTACCAGAATGAACTATTTGAATAAACAAAATAAAGACAAGGTATAAGGTGTTTATCAGGAGGTCAATATTTTTCTTTTCCATATCAATTTATTTTACATAATGAATTTCAGTATGGTTTATAATTTTCTACCTGGAGCCAATAATATTTATTAATGGTATCCCAATTATGCATTATTAAGCTTTGAGGAATTGCTAAGAATTGCAATGGAAAGATAAGTAAGATACTTAACTTTATTTCATTTTTACAAGAAATTTAGTGTAGAAAGTACAATTAACTGAGATCAAAGTGTATAAAAAACAATGGCTACTAAAGAAAACCTTCAATCAGAAGACTTCAGATCAATGTATTTTTATGAAGACCTATCTTCACCTAAGTAAAAAAACCTTTCCTTTTGGGGGTTTTTATTGATTAGCAAATGAACTCCTTGTTTGTTCAAAATAACTGCAATAGGAAATTTGTGAAAAAGACTGCAAAATGGATCCACATTAATTACATTAACAATTTTTTATGGAAGGAAGAACTTTGTATTACACTTGTGAGACTTAATGTATGAAGAATTATGGAGAAAGGTGGAGATGGTCACTTGCATTTGCGAAGTTTTATTGGTGACTCTAATTTTCTTCTTTGAAAAAGGAATTAAATCACCTTCACTTGATGACATTAAATGAATTAATGGTGAAGGTGATATTTGGGCTTGATTTTAATATATGACAACATTTTTACAGGTAATGTTAGAGATGTTAAATTTGCCTTGACCAAAGTCTGTATTGAGGAAGAGGAAGTGCAAGTGTTCTATACCGTCTGCAAAATACAATTCATATTGGAGAATAATTGAAAGTAATTCTTGAAATATTGGGTTATAATCACAACATAGGTCACCTTGAAGTGATTAGTCTTAGCATTTCTAGGTTCAGTAAAATTCAATGAAGAGTTGTACTTCATTCACATAGATATGGTGTATGTGAAAGTGAGGTGGACTGTGGGCAGATTTTTGAATAAGCCTGGTAAAGGGGAAGAAGTAATAATAAGTTACCATGGGTAACATAGATAATGTGTATACTATTATAAAAAAAGCATGGAGTTAGGGATATAGTTCAGTGGTAGAGTGCTTGCCCAGCTAGCAAAAGGCCCTGTGTTCAATGCCTAGTAGTATTAAAAAGATGAATTATTAAATTAATTTGTTTGGTATTAGAAATTGAACCCAGGGATACTTTACCACTGAGCTACATTCCCAGCCCCTTTTGACTTTTTTTAAAAAAATTTAAAACTGAGTCTTGCTAAGTTAGGGACTCACTGAGTTACTGAAGCTGACTTTGAACTTGCAATCCTCCCGCCTCAGCCTCCCAAGTCACAGGGATTACAGGTATGTGTAACTATGCTCAGAAAAAAAATGTGAATTTTGAAGATTTGAATTTGGGGGTTATTAATGACTAGTCATTCTTCCACATTAAACAGATTGTATTCAAGGAATCAGCATGTATGGGTGAAAGTGACAATCAGAAACAGAAAGGAAAGATGAAGATGTGGGTTTAGGAATACCCTAGAAAGATGAAGCATGGAAGAGGATGAGAAAGAACATTTAGAAGATATACCAGGAGGCTGAGGTTCAGAGAAAAGGATGAGCTCATTCTGGACAACGGAAGAATCAAGAGTAGAAAAATATACTGGGTAAAATTCACATTAGAATTTGAGGTGTTGAAATATATGGAATGAAAATATTTTAAGTGGGAGGAGTAATATAAGCTGCACAGAAATTAAGAAATGTCATAAAGAATGTTAACTAAAATTTCACCTTCTATTATTATATAAAAGAACCTTAAGATTATTGATATTTATGGTACAAAGAAAGAATGGACATCAATGATCTATGAGGTTTTAAATTTTTAGACAAAATTAGGTAATTTTAAATTATATTATTTCCCTAGAGCAATATATAATACATGTATATGTATGTATATATAATAACATTACTATGTTTTGTGACAGCCATACATAGGCAAGTTTCTTATCCTTCCACACTTCTAACTTTCCAAGACTAGTTGGCATCAAATTTAAATTTTTTAAAGTAAATGTTTAAAATTTTGGAAGAAAATTTGTATTTCTATGAATAGAGACTTTCCTCTAATAATAGAATCAGGAGAGATGACACTGACTTTGAAAATAATAAAGATAAGGATTTACTTTCAAAGTAAGGTAAAGAAAAATATATATACTAGCATTCTTTGATATTCTCTGTTTATGTATATTGTATGTATCTATGTGTACATATAGATAGAATTACCAAAGGATGATACTTTAATCCATTGAATGAATCCATTTCTTACCCTTTGGAACCGCATGATGTCGCTGTCTACCACGAAATTACAAGTAGCCAATATACAAAACCCTTTCGTCCTATTACTTCTTCACAAGATTGCTGAATGATGGCGGACTCAGAAGAATTGAATTAATAGACTTGGAAACATTCAGCATTTCATTTTTATGCTCAGAAGATATCTTCTAATGGAATTAACACAAGAAATATTTGACATGGATTTTACCACTGAAGGCAGACTGGGAATGCGATGTCTGCTGCTCTCCTTTATTCTCCTCATAGCCTGGGAGGCGGGGAGCGGCCACCTCCACTACTCGGTCCCCGAAGAGGTCAAGCACGGCACCTTCGTGGGCCGCATCGCCCAGGACCTGGGATTGGAACTGGAAGAGCTGGTGCCGCGCCTATTTCGGGTGGCGTCCAAGGACCACGAGGATCTTCTGGAGGTAAATCTGCAGAATGGCATTTTGTTTGTGAATTCTCGGATCGACCGGGAGGAGCTGTGCGGGCGGAGTGCGGAATGTAGCATCCACCTGGAGGTGATCGTGGACAGGCCACTGCAGGTTTTCCATGTAGAGGTGGAAGTGAGGGACATTAACGACAACCCCCCGGTGTTCCCGGTAAAGGAACAAAGAGTGCTGATTTATGAATCTAGGCTGCCAGATTCTCTGTTTCCACTGGAGGGCGCATCAGATGCAGATGTTGGATCAAATTCCATCTTAAACTATAAACTCAGTTCCAGCGAATACTTTGCATTAAACACGAAAACAAACAGTGATGAAAATAAACAAATTGGACTCGTGATAAGAAAATCCTTGGACAGAGAGGATGCTCCTGAACATAATTTACTCCTGATAGCCACCGATGGAGGCAAACCTGAGCTCACGGGCTCTGTTCAGCTGCTGGTCACTGTGCTGGACGTGAACGATAATGCTCCTAGTTTCGAAAGGTCTGAATATGAAGTGAGACTATTCGAAAACTCAGACAAAGGAACTACAGTTGTGAGACTGAATGCTTCTGATCGGGATGAAGGAACGAACGGGGCAATTTCCTACTCTTTTAATAGCCTTGTTCCACCCATGGTTACTGACCAGTTTAGTCTAGATGCAAACACTGGAGAAATAACAATTCAAGGGAATTTGGATTTTGAACAAGTAAGTTTATACAAACTCCGCATTGACGCGATGGACAAAGGCCACCCTCCAATGGCGGGTCATTGCACCGTTTTAGTGAAAGTTTTGGATGAAAATGATAATGTTCCTCAGATTGCAGTGACGTCCTTATCCTTGCCTGTCCGGGAGGACGCTCAATTTGGTACGGTCATTGCCCTGATCAGTGTGTCAGACCGTGACTCTGGAGCTAATGGACAGGTGACCTGTTCCTTGACGCCTCAAGTCCCCTTCAAGCTGATGTCCACTTTCAAGAATTACTACTCGCTGGTATTGGATAGTGCCTTGGATCGCGAGAGCATATCTGAGTATGATTTGGTGGTGACTGCGAGGGATGGGGGCTCGCCTTCGCTGTGGGCCACTGCCAGCTTGTTGGT